GGGAAATGTTGTCTCATGAACACGTTGACGGAGCATCCTTAAGAACGTTGAGGGTCGTTTTTGATGGCTGAGTCATTCAGCTTTAAACATTGCTTCTTACATCAGTTTCGGCTCGACCTTGGCCATGCTTCGGTTTCCGCTGTAAGGTTTTTAAAATTAATCGGCCTACTGACCACATCCTAATTCATGATTATTGCTATTGACGCCATCAGAACTTACGGGACGTCAACGGGGTAGATTTGTGGCGTCTGATCTTGCTGAAATGGTGCGTTAAGTTCAAACTTAAATTGATATTGCTCCACACTGCGAAGTGCGGCAAAGTTTACATTTCTGACAGCAAGATCCTGCCTACTTCTGAATAGTATTTCACTACTTTCGCAGGTTATCCAACGCGTCTGCTGTAATTTTATGGTTCCCATATGAACAAGATTTTAAAAGGTTGTAATTTAATTGCTGTTCAAGGAGTTCTATGAAAACAGAATTAATGACTCGTTGACACGTCGGTCCCAAGGCGAACGACACACACTTAATGACATTGACGAAGACGAAGGCGAAGATGGTGGTAATCATGATAAGCACTATGATGGTGTGATGGATGATGTCAGTAATAATGAAATGAACGTCTGCATATTTAATAGTCAGTGATGAATTCGTTATAATGAAGAAGTAGAAGATTTGTTTAATATTCAGCCCATAATGGTGAGCTCTCGAAACAGGTTACGAGCAGGATCTATTTTTAACAAGCGTCTTATGAAATTTCAAATTTACCCACATTTCGTCTTCTCTAAAAAATGGATGGATTGACAGAAATTCAAATGAACTTATAAAAAACTAATAAATATACCGGTCTTCTCATTTTTGCAAGCATCGACTGACAGTGGTGCCAAACCATCATAGCATCATCATCATCGCTATCCTCTTCTTCGTCATCGATGCAGCAGTATGTCATTCACATTATGATCGTTGCACCAATGAACAGTAGCCTGTGATTGTGGCAGCGTTAGAATGTATCATAATATCAAGCCTCACAATGACTAGCTATTTCATTAATGTGTCCCCCTGTTAGTGAATAGGCCCCGATCAAGAAAGTAATGGCTGGACACCATAGCTTATGTTTGCAGTGGCTGAGGAGGCATTGTGAGCATGAACTTTAGGTGACAGTCTCGCTACTTTGCTTAATATTGTTACCTCTGTTCGTTACTGCTTATTGAAAGCCACCGCATACAGTA